ACATTTGACAGAATTTGTCTTAATATACCATTATTTTCTAGTAGTATCTAGTGGTTACAGTTGGATACAGAATGGCTCTGGCACTCCACAGTGACCTGTTGGTGAACAAAGCATATTACAATGAATAATATTGTCACAATGACTAACTCATTTGAGTTAATATTGAAGACGCTTTTCCCATTTAATGTAATGAGAGCATGAGCAAACTACATTTTTTTCAGTTAAGTGATGTCATATAAAGATTCAAAAGGTGGGTACTGCTAGGAGAACATAAAATGACATCAGAAAGAAATATTAGCATAGAGGATGGCCTCCTGGGTCCTATCTCATCTAATTGAAGTCATCTAAGTTATATAATGGCATTCATTATTATATTACCTCATTTATATTAGCATATTTATTAGCTCCAGCAATGAGATAACAGAAATTCTATCATCATTGTGAGTTTTAAGCCTGACCGGGAGACAGTGTCTGCCTTGGCTGGTCTGTCCAGACACCTCATTTATAGAAATAACCAAAATGAAGTGGTTTGCATCTGATATAAAAGACAGAACCCAGCTAGCTCACTTAGCCATGAAGGAGTGTGATTCAGGTGCTTAAACATAAGCATACAGCTAAAGATCTGTTGGAGAGTCTGCTGCCTCTCCTGCAGGTGGTCCCTCTTCAGATGCCCTGGGATATCTCAGGTAGTACTAGACATTTGTTTTCAGTCAAGCCCAAATCCTACATTCCATACCTGCTGGAGGAATCTCTCTTTCCTTTGTGCATGTTGCAATGACCAGATCATGCTAAACACCTAAGCATTTTATTTTTCATGTTGAGCGAAATAATCTACAAATATGTTCTAAAAGGTTTGGTTTATTTTCCTAGTTTAATCTGTGGCGATTAGACACAGAGCTTCTCAGCAGGTATCTCTAAAAAGACATGATTTACACATGTTGTTATTTCTTCTACTGTATCTTCTTTTTTCATTATTTTTTTGCTTCTCTTGATCAAGTCTCTCAAATAAACAACCCATCTCTAACTACCTTCACAAGTTTGCTATTACAGATTTTGCAGTTCTGTTCCCTAGTCACTCTGGGATGCGTATGGTATCTCTGATGCAGTCCTATTGTGTTGTTGCCCTTGAAGGATTGTAATCCCTGAAAAGTCCCCAAGAATTTCCTCCAGCCACATTTGAACTGTGGTTACTTCTCTCTTACCCACTGTGGGATCCAGCCTTCCCTCACAGTGCTAGCTGTAACTTCTGTCTGCTTCTCACAGTATTATCAGTGATGTCTGGAAATTCCTCATGTTGTGGTTTCACATTAAGTAGTTTTCCACACTCTATACCGTTAATTTAATCTCAGGATTATGCCAGTCAAGGCCTGGCCAGTGGTTCAATCATTCACTTCCAACACTTACAAAGATGCAGAGGATTATTCCTGAACTTAACCCTGAAGTTGTCCAGATAAACATTTTCTTGGTTGTATGATGAGAGTTGTATAAAATGAAGATTGAACCCATTTGTTCAGTGTTGAATAAGACAGTACAGAACAGTGCTGACACCTATACAGCCATGTAAAGACCTCCCTGAGATAAAGCAGGTCGAAGTGAGCAAGAAGCCACTGATATGCTTAATCAGAGACTGATACCATTAAGTACTTAGTACCTAGAACATTTGGGGGAAAGGTTTTAACACAATCTTATTATTTTCTTTGGAGAAATTCCAGACACAGTCTGTGTAATTGTTCCTGGTTTTGGATCACTCTCAGACGTCAGGTCCCAAAGGTTCAAGTTTATCTTTTACTTCTTTGGAATACAGTTTAGTGGCAATATCATTAATGTGCAGATGACACTTGATTCTGTTTCCTTCTCTTTAGCTCAGGCAGGAGACATCTCTGTACTTTCCAGCGTCTGGCAAAGATAGGGAACTGGACAGAAGCCAAGAAAGTGGGCTCATTCCAGAGCTCCAAACTGCTTTGCAGTGACTGGCCTGGAAACAAATTTTGAGGAAGTTTTATTCGGGGATTAATTTGTTCAAGTGCTTCACTGCTCTCAGGCTCTTAATAGCCTGAAACTGTTTTGCAGTTGTCCTCTGATGTGAAGAGCTGTGATTATCTTCAGCAAACAACAGAAAACGAAATCAAACCCCTTTGCCAGGCCAAGAGCATGGCTTCATCAGTTTACATGTGCCAGAGATGAGGGAGCTGCATTCTCATATCCCTTCCTCCTTATTGCTCCATCTCAGTCCCTCACTGCCTTGTGCAGTCTCTGGAGCTTGTTTGCACATCCATGAGCTGACACAACACACCAAAGCAGCAGAAACAAACCACACAGAAATGTAGATCATTCTCTCCCCCTTCCTGGGTGGCACTGGCTCACCAAAGAGTCCAGTAAAAGCCAGGAACAGGGGAAGGGACAGGGAAGTGAAGAAGAGCAAGGAAGGAGACTGAGACATGATACTTATGCGAAGTCGTGTGTCTGTGACCAGTCTATCATTACAAAACTCGAGACTTGATAACCACTTGAAATTACAGCTGCAGCAGCCTGAATTCATCTCTCTCACTCTTAGTGTCTGGCTTTCTCAGGGTAAATTACACCCGCAGCTTGTTCCCAACAATGGGAGCAATTAAAAGCACTGTTTACTATCTACAGAGTCCTAAATAGTTGAAATCTAATTACTTCCAAAAGACTTTCCTTCTTTTGTCCCGTGGTGACCTCGGCATTAAATAGAATTGTTTTGGCCATCTTGCCTAGGAATGAACTTTGAGGAAGCTGGAAGCAAAGTAATGTCTCTAGAAGGCAATTTCCTGAAGAATTCATTGCTGCCAGAATATTTGCTAAGCCTGAACTTGCCCACATTTGGTACACAATGTAAAATAATTCTCCATGCACATGTTCTCCCTAATAACAGGCCCTGGAGTCCTTGGCATTCAGCCTACTGTTGTCTATCTTTGTCTTTTAACATCTTGTGCCGTTGCCTGAGCACACACTCTGCAGCCTCCCACTCAGCCTTTAGAAATCCTCTGCTCTGCCCACACCTCCTCCAGCTGCCCATGTCAGGCAGCCATGTGAACCCAAACTCCCCAAGGTGAAAGCACAGAGACTCAACTTTCTCCCACCAGTCGAGTCCCCAGGTTTGGGACTGATGTGCTTCCCAGGACAAGAGTAGCCTGGAGGACAATTCCTTGGGACAGGGAAGATCCTCAGCCACACACACACGAAGCCCTAATCTTTCGCCTCCAAGATACTGTCAGTGAACAACACCCACGCACCATTATGTCAGTGGCACCTGCCACATTGCTAGTGGCCTGTGGTCAACAAATCACACGCAGCAAGCCCTCTCACCTGCACTAAAATCTGCCATGGACTGCACAGCAGGGGTGCTGGCTTCCGCAGAACAGCTTTTGAAGCATCTGTATGCTGAGTCTCTGGTTAGACTCATCATATGAAGGGATTAGAGGTGCCCTACCTTTCTCTTTGACCTCTGCCCAGGTAGGTCTGATCTAATACAGTCCAACAGCCCAAGGTACCTCTGCATCTGTTGCTGAGTGTTAACCTTTGGAGCTTAATGTCAGGAGTGATACAGGTGTATCTAAGCCTGTCAGAAGGAAGGGGAAAGGATCAGGAACTTCTTAAATTTCCTTCCATGTTTTGATTAGTGTTTTTTGTGTTTCAAGAGATAATACACTTCAAATTGTACTGATGGGCTTGTAGAAAATGAAGCTTCTTCTTGCAGTTCCTTTGGCTTTATATCATTTGCAAGCATCCACTTCCTCCCTGCTATATATTTCCAGTATGATCGCTTTTTAATTTATATTTGTGTAGTTGTGCAAATGCATAGTTATATTTCCCTGCAGAAAATAGGTGAAACTCCTTTACATCCATGGAAAAGAACACTTTTTTCCTTCCCAGCTTACATAACTTCCCATCTTTTCCCTCAAATTTATAATCAAGACTTTCTGAGGTTTTTTAAATTTTTACACTTATTTATTTTGTATTTAGGTGTTTTTCTCACATTTATTATTTATTTCAGTTTTATTCAATCATACACAGTTTTAAGTTTTCATAGAAAAATGTCCTAATGTTAATTTATTTATGTTTGGGTTTTATAGAAACAACTATATATTTAATATGAGTTGAATTATTTAGTGGAAATGCTGCTTCATGCAATGTAAATAAACTACAACTAATCTGTCAGTGACTTCTGGTAAACCACAATGTTCATTAACTTCTTTTTAGATCACATTGACAACCATTGGTTACGGAGACAAAACTCCTCTTACTTGGCTTGGAAGGCTGCTTTCTGCAGGATTTGCTCTACTTGGCATTTCTTTCTTTGCACTACCTGCTGTGAGTATGCCTATAAAATCTGTAAAAAGATAATAGAAACTTCCGTAGCTCCTGCCACTGCTATGATACAAAAAGCTGAAGGAAGCTGTCTACATGAAGAGCAACAGTTTAAGGCTTTTTGCTCTGTGACAGCACTAGTGAATCACTATCCAAAATCCAAACAAAAGGTTTGGTGTTGTTGCTCTGGTTTTGGGTTTTTAGTTTCTCTGTCACAGATAAAACTAGGAAATATTCCTAAATTGGGCTTCATACTGTTGTGTAAGGTTGAAAATACTTTCTTTTGTTATGAATTGTGCCTTATATATTAATAATTTTCTTTCAAATTTTTCAAAACAAGACAAAACAAAAAGTAGATTACATGTTTTTCTGAGTTAGATTATATTGAAAAAAAAAGTGAGATATTTCTAATAGCTCGTCTTGTGTTACCATGTTCAGGCTACCAACAGAGTAGAAGAAGGCTTTAAATCAATTAAAGGTTAATATCATTGAATGTAAAATATGCAACTATCATTTTCTCTGAATGATTGTAAATAAACATTACAGTTTGTTTATGTTGTTTTTATCAATGTTCAAGAGACTTTAATGGAAATGAGAATCATCTAATGTCTAAAATATAGTGTAGCTTCAGAAATAACTTCTCATTTCTGTGAGTGAACTTCTTTTCTTTTTCAAATTGTTATTCAGTAAGTGTGAATTGAGAAGTGACATTTGTATTTTTTTATTGTCTCCAGTGTAACACATTTTAATATTTTAATACTCAGATACATTATCTATAGATCACTATAAAACATGTCTGTCATAATACTTCATTTGTTTTCAACCACATAGACAAACCAAGATTAAAAGTCAACATTTGCCAACAGCATTAAATCAGCTGGTGCACTGCATTTATTTCTTACTCTAGGTACAGCATTTCAGTATCTTTGGCATACTACAATGCATTATGATTATAATTATAATACATTACCTGTTTGTGAATATTTGACATTTATTGACACCTACTGTAATTAATTCCTTTTGTCACCTAGTCACCACTAACGAGAAAGTTAGTCTTAGCAGCACTACAATGAAAAGATGATTAACCCATATTAGAGATGCCAGAACTTCTTCATGTCATACCTATGCACAGATAATAATATTCCTCATAAACACTTCTGTGCTGAATCTGTCTGTAAAACAAGAGGTATGTGTGAAATTTATGCACTTCTAATAGTATATTATTCTGACTAAGAATCAAGTGGAAATATTCTTCCTTACAATGCAGACATACCCCAGCAGAATTATTACACTCCTTGCAAGTCAAGGAGGAAAACATTCTCAGCCTTTGGATCTGTTCAGCAGGAGTCAAATTTATCTTACTCAAAGGTAAAAAGGCTAAAATGGGAGAGGTTTCAACTTTTTTTTCATAGCCTATAGAATAAACTATGGGCACTATTTAGATGGGAAAGACTGAGAAGAAATGGTCTTAATCTGTTAAGAAAAGCATTTTTTAACTTTGCTAAAATCAAAGGTTATAATGAGTACTGCAGATGTGAACTCTGGGGTCCACATCTATTTGGTGTATCTGCCAACTGATCATTTCATCATATTCTGAATATTCCTGCTTGATTTTATAAATATATATCTATATCTGTCTCCATGGCCTTTATCACTGCAGAAATGTAGCGCAGCACAAACCCAGGTAATGGCTGGGGTGGCTGGTCATTGGTAGTGCCACAGATGTTATGTAAGGAGTCTCCTGCCGCACCACGAAAGGGGCACTGGTGCTGTGCCTTATACTGTCATATACTGTCATAAATGTGTTATCTGAAGCAATCATATGGTGAAACATCTTCATAAAATCTTTGTAATTAATTATGTATATTTGCTGGAAAACTACCTACACACTGATAAATTGCATACTGTATTGCAGGGCATCCTTGGCTCAGGATTCGCATTGAAAGTGCAGGAACAGCATCGTCAGAAACACTTTGAGAAAAGAAGGAATCCAGCTGCAAGTCTAATTCAGGTAAATATGAAATCACAAAAAAGATAATAGCATGTGATTTAAAGTACAGATTAGAACGAGTCTTATTATTTCAATTTAGAAGATTTTGTGGAAATGAAGTTTAACTGCTTAGTTTAATGAAATAACTGTATCTAGTGACTGCTATGTGTTCCATAATTCTGTATAGAATCATAGAATCATTTAAGTTGGAAAAGACCTGTAAGATCATCAAGTCCGACTGTATATGGCATTTTTAAGTGTAGTTTTCGAGTTCTTCTTTCCATGTTGAAGAAACCAAGGCAAGGATGACAAATGCATGCCTGCAGTTAGAAAATTATTTGGGAAAAGAGAATTGATCCTTAGACAACCCAACTGACAGTGCGGCACTCTTGCCTATATTAAGCTACTTTTTATTTATTACAGGGCTTAGAGCGTTCCAGTGAGTGGTATACTTGGTGAAGACAAAAAGTGTCCTGCACAGAGAATTGCTTTCACTATTAGTCAATTCTAAACATAGCAATGTAGGCACTAACAATTCCAAAATATCTGAAATTCTGTGAAGTTTTTTCAGCTCCAGTATTGACATGATGGTGCAGATCAACAAAAAGTGGCATGATATGTGTTAAGCAGCTGTTTTGCGTAGGTTTTTTCCCTAACTTACAGTCCTACTCAAAAATGAGAAAATCCTCTAAAGAATAATTTTGCACCACGCTTTGCTCTACTTGATGCACTGAGAAAAAAAAGGGGGGAAATAATCTTCTAGAGGCCTAGTTTATTTTCTTGGGATGCCAAATTTTCTATATGTGCCATTTATGCTGGCTTTTAATTTTGAAACAGTAAGTCCAAAAAAAGAAGCTGAGCACGAATATGCTAGAGTTCCATGTTAAGTACAGGACAGATGCGAGACTGTCTTTGAAGCTTTCCTGAAGTTAATAAATGTTTTCCGTTATTACCGTTCAATTATTATTAAATAATAAATATTTAAGATTTAATATTTGTTAGAATAATTAATAAAAATAAGTCCACTCCTTTTGTGTCTATTGTACTTTAGAATGACTGTCTAACATATTTTCTAACACATATATTCTAATCTACTTGTTCCAAGTTTGATTGCCAAAGGAAACATATAATAGATTAAAGTTTTGAATGTAGTTATTCTTATTATTTATATATTAGTAAGATTATACTAGTAAGACACCATGCTAAATAGATTACCAGTAGCTATCTGATTGATTTCAGAGAGTGACTCCCAACAGGTAAAATCACTGTGAAAGGAAAACATCTGTTGTGGGATTCCATGATGAAGGCTTTTCAGCACTTACACGTTCATTTACATGTTTAACACATTCAGTGATCCGAAAATTAATATCAAATTGTTGCTAGACATATTTGAGGATGGAACAAGGCTGGCAGAATAGGAAATATGAGGGCAGGCTCATGGGAAAAAAACGAGGATGATCTGGGTGACTTTTAGGGTGAAATAATTCCTGCCAAATGTCTTAATACAACAAATACAAAACTTGACCTAGAAACAGTGAATTCAGATTATTACAAGACACCTCTATCCCCGTATTAGTGACACCTGAAAGGATTTGATGAAGCACAAGAAACACAGAGAAAGAGCAGGAAATGAAGGTCAAGAGCTTCATACAGAACCATAAACATAACAAGAAGAAAGCTGTTATTACCACTGTAGTGTATGATGATGCTCATATTAATATATTATATATCAATTCAGCATCTGAAGTTTGTAAGTGAGACTGGAATATTGGAGAAAGCAAATAAAACATTGGAAGAAAATGAGTCAAGGACTGGAGAAAATTTCATGTTCATAAATGCAGGATGTGTCTGAACTGCGTATCATTGTGCCCAGGATTTTTTATATTGTCTGTTCTAGATATTGATAATGAACTCCTATGGAAATCAGTGTGGAAATCTTATCAGGATAATGTCTATTTTCTAATCAGTTACTCTGTAGAATTAGTTTGTGCTAACTCTTCTGTTGCCACAGATAGACTGTTTGCCAGAGCCTTTACCTGACCTAAAGATAGCTGTAGAAAATTGAAATGTTTCATATGGACATACTTTTCTCAATTCTTTAGCTTGTAAAAAATATTCAGTGTGAGAATTATTTAACATAATTCCAGAAAGGAAGTCCTGGAACCTACAGGACTATTAAATGTAGCAGACAGAAACATAGCAACTCCGGATATGAGACAAAATCAATTACTTTTGAATTAAAAATAATACAGACATTTTTGACAATGAGAATGATCAACAAACTAAGCAAGTTATAAAGTGAGTGACAGGTTCTCCATCTGTAGATGAAGACTAGGTGTGTTTCTGGGAGATATGTAGTAGGAAAACACAGGGTATTATATTCCATATAAGAATACCTAGATGACATATAATGGTTGACAATATATAGGAAGTGCAGATACTCAGCTAGTACAAGTTAATATAGTTATGCTGACATCAGGGAAAGTGTTCCAGCTTGTGGAAGTGAGGCTCTGTCTTACTCTCTACATGCAGATATAAATCTAAGCAGTGGATAGATTTTCAATGCGATGCTTTGGTTGCTCACCTTTGAAATTATTAATTTTGTGGTTTTAAACATTTAGCAGTGTTTCAAACCACAGAAAATGCTTCTCTTTTCTTCTAAATACTTTTTGCCTGGTTTTCATTATAATTTGCAGAATGTATTATGACAGTTTCTTTACCTCAGACTGCAAGTTTGTGTGGGTGTCCCCTACGGACTTGTCACAAATAAATCCATGCAATGCTTCTCTAAGTATCTTTATGGGCTGAATATCTTCTGGTGCTTTCATGGAGCCAGTAACTCTTACCTCACCTGTAAAGTGTACTGTGATTCACAAAAGTTTTGGTATGTTTTTACTGGTGCTTCCTGAATCAAGCTAACAGAGCACATTCCAATTTGAGCAAAATCCCCTCACTCCACTACTGCCATGCAGTCAGTGCGGTGGCATTATCACTTCATTTTCTTGGTTCCTTTGTGCTTTTCTATTGTTTCCCCATACCAGGCTTCCTGGCGGTTTTATTCTACCGATGCCAGCCGAACAAACCTGACAGCCACCTGGCGATATTATGAAAGTATTCTTCCTCCCCTCAGGCATGTATCAGTGCTATGAATGATAAGAGAAAGACATGACTTGTATTGGTGACTAATCTGCTTTTCAATTTTTTGTTTCATCCCCTGCTCCCTCTTGCCTTGTTTTTTCTTTTTTTACCACATATCCTGCACGTAGTGTGTATGGCGTAGTTATGCTGCTGATGAGAAATCGGTTTCCATTGCTACCTGGAAGCCTCATTTGAAGGCCTTGCATACCTGCAGCCCTACAAAGTAGGTACAAATACGGCAGCTGGTGCTGTTCTTGATGTCTGTTCAAGCTTATAGAGAACTAGTGTTTGTCTGTTTCGTCTTGGTTTGTTTTCTTAAATCCTCTCAAGTCCTCTCATTAAAAATTTCAACTAACAAGTGAAATCAATATTATCTAGGAGCCTAGGACAGTGGGACAAATACAAATCATTGCCATTCATCTAAGAAATGCACAAGCATTAGAAACATTTTCCCAAAAACCCACTTGTGCATCAAGGTTAATGTTTCACTCTGTTCCAAATTATCTTTAAGAAGGAAAATATTAACTTTGATGCAGAGCTTGATGCTTGATTCAATGGTATATTTACGCCTGTGCCTCCATAAAAGGCTATCGCTACTGATCTACCTTTCCAAAGGAAGAGTACCTTGTGGTATTCTGGAGGTAAATGCCCTGGGGAATTTGCTTCTTTTTGTCATAATGTCTGACATATTCAGTATTTCCTTAGGGAAAAGTATATATTCATTAATACGCACAGCCAGTGGAAGATGACTAAAAAGACCTGATGCCACAGTTTGGCAGACAGGAAATATTTTATATCCTAGTTTGGGTGAGAATTCACAGAGCACTGGCTGCCCAAGACTTTTCAATAATTCAGTAAAAGATTTAGTAGAAGGCAGTAAGTTGACTGACTCAATATGGGGCACAGATCAGGAAGTAAAAAATACTTGATAAAGATCAAAAAGGAGAGCACTAAGAGCCTTATGGGAAAGCTCTGATAAGCATCCTAACTGTTGTTATTGCAGACAGTGCAAGAGAATTAGTGGTTTCTCTCAAAGCTGGGTGATGAACATCCACATGACAGTTAAAAGGTAATTGTGTGCCAAAAAGCTCAGCCAAAAGGAAGTTTGGCTGGGTATCTAAAGCTGATCTTTGAATTTCAAAGAGTTGACAAGAACAGAGCCGTAAGTAATCTATTACCATAACTGTAATTCCAAAATGCTCTAAACTAAAAGGAGCTTTTAGATTAAAAGTTACGTGGACCATTGATTTTCTTAACATATACAAACAGGTTGAAGGCAACATTGGTATAAATGGATAGATATAAAATTACATAAATAATGAAGCTGTATCCCATATAAAATATACTAAAATATGACTGTCCCTCAAAACTGCATCTACTTGTTGGTTTAAATAAGGATATTGCCATGCTATCATAAAATTAAACCTTTTTATTTACCAAAAATAACTTTATCTAAAAAGAACCTACAGCTTTCTGTTATATATGTGTCAGCAATGCATTTTGCCTAAGTGCTTTGCCAACTCAGTCTGCAGTGGTATGTACGAAGCATGTTATGCATGTGTTAAAACAACTGAAAAGTTTCTTTTCCAGACGCATTGTACTTATGAGTCTTGCTTGAATGCTTTTGTGGTTGCAATGTTATGTGTGTGTTGTACACCAATTAACATACCCATTTATATTTATCATATATCTAACATTATCTGTAACTAAGTAATGTGATTACTATCTGCATAACAATTACATTTTTCCCTCCCACTCCCTGACCTGAAGAAAAGAACAAGGGGAATCTTCTAGCAGGTTTGTAGTTCCTTTATTTCTTTTATCTGTGAAATTGCTGTTTCCTAATGGCTTTTAGATGTCTTGAGTCCTGTACAATAGGTTCAGTGAACTGTAACTGTTGATAGATAATAATCACAAGCTGGACTTTTTTTAACTCATATTAATAGACTAATGCTGCTGAAATTTGCTTTTTTGTCCCAGTTTTTGTGTGGAAAAAGTAGGCATTTTTTTACATTTCTAATCCCATGTTTTAACTTTGAGGGGCTCTGGTCGAACAGTGGCAGAGCAGCCAGTGGAGCAGCCTCCCCAGACCCAGTGCCTGGGCAAGGGCACGGCCCCAGTTTCTGCCATAAAATCATTGCTGGTGGTTTCCAGAAATCACAGTGGAAATTACAGGCATATAGTTTCATTTGGCTTTGTGAACAAGCCCACTAGCCCTCCATTGCAGGGGAAGGACCCTCCAACAGGGCTGTTTGGATGTCACCGTGGCAAGGGTCTGTGCTGCCCTGCGTGAGTATCCTCAGCACTTCCTCAGTACTGTGACTCCAGGTTTCCTAACTTTTCTGTCATCCCCTCTTAAGGAGTGTTTTGGGACTCAGCAGATGGGGGGAAAGCAGGACTGCAGTGGCTCACCTGCTCCCAGCTGCACGGTTTGCACTCACATGGCGCAGTTCAGGTAGAGGAGGCAGCCAGGTATCTCTCCTAAAGCAAGCACCACTGCTGATGGCTGGGAGGGCAGGTGGATTTACATCCAGCCTAGATGCCAGCTTAAGACCAGCTGCCTACAGCAGGCAAAGGCAAGCCTTGGCAGGGCTATCCTCACCAGGTAAATAAAGCCCTGGAAATGCACATCCTAAGGCAGCTGGAGAGAATGCTGGTCTTTGCTGTGCTGGTAGCCCAAACCCTTGGGAACAGGAAAGGACTCAATAGTTAGAAGAGAAATTATCTCGGAAACTCGCTAGGGATGGGAATCAGCAGGTATTTGGCAGCTGGCACTGCAGTATCAGCATGCTCAGAGAATAGCAGTGTACCTACCAGCAGAAAACACTGAAAAGCCAAGGAAAAAAGTGTTGGTGATACATCAACCCCCAAAATACATGCACCCCAAAGTTGCACTGTGGTTCACAAACCCTTCTGGGTTATTCAGTCAGAGATGAAAGCCTTCACATCAATTACCCATGTCCCATTCCACTTTTCAAGGTTGTTTCTCTGGCACTTGACTCCATCCTCTTCCTTACAGTGCATGCATCTGCTTTTAGTGTCCTAGTAACTCAAGGGGACTAGATTTGCTGTGTCAGTTCTGTGGCTTTTCATATACATAACCTCCATAGGCTTGCTAGCAACATATTGATCTCTTCAAATTATTACAGCTGGATCCAAACTTTTTGCACTCACTAGCTGTATTTCCCACTCTTTCAACAGCAACATTTTAAACTGACATTTTGAAAGGTGAGACTGAAGTTGACAGCAAATGAGTATTTTCCCCTAAAACTGTGACTTTTGCAGAGTGGCAAGGCTATTCCCAGTTGTACCTATGAGCACTTAAAGAGAGAAATTTATCTACAATAGCTGGAAGCTAGATCCAAAAAAAACCCCCAAACATCCAGCTGTCAAAACTATAATTCATGCTCCATATTAGTGATAACTGTTGTGGCTTTAAGAGAAGTCAGTGATTTAGCCAGATTTTTTCACTTTATTTTCACTGAATAGAAGATCACAGAATCATAGAATATGCTAAGCTGGAGGGGACCCACAAGGATCATTGAGTCCAACTCATGGCCCTGCACAGGACCATCTACAAGAGTCACACCATGTGCCTGAGAGTATCACCCAAACATTTCTTGAACTCTGTTAGTCTTAGTTCTGTGACTTCCCTGGGGAGCCTGTTCCAGTGCCCAGCCACCCTCTGGGTGAAGAACCTTTTTCTAATATCTAACCCAAACCTCCCCTGACACAACTTCAGGCCATTCCCTCGGGCCCTGTCACTGCTCACCAGAGAAGAGATCAGTGTCTGCCCCTCCTCTTCCCCTCATGAGGAAGTTGTAGACTGCAATGAGGTCTCCCCTCAGTCTCCTCCAGGTTGAACAGAACAAGTGCCCTCAGCCACCCCTCATATGGTTTCCCCTCAAGGCCCTTCACCATCTTCATTGCCCTCCTTTGGACACTCTCTAATAGCTTAATATCTTTCTTATATTGTGGTGCCTAAAACCGCACACAGTGTTCAAGGTGAGGCCACCTCAGTGCAGAGCAGAGCAGGACAATCCCCTCCTTCGACTGGCTGGTGATGCTTTGCCTGATGCCCCCCAGGACACGGTTGGCCCTCCTGGCTGCCAGGGCACTGCTGACTCAGATTCAACTTGCCATCAACCAGGACCCCCAGGTCCCTTTCTGTGGCACTGCTTTCCAGCATCTCATTCCCAGTCTATACGTACATCCACGGTTGCCCCATCCCGGCTGTAGAATCTGGCACTTCCCGAGGTGTTTGTCCCTTCAGAAACTCCTAATATATGCACTGCTGCAAATTAGTGTATGTGTAAAAATGAACTAGTTAACTCCTGAGATCCTGGTCTACAGTAAAAATCCTACAGACTACTCTGTGCCTTTAAAAAAGTTGCTTTTTGTCAGTGGCTGTTTATCACTCTTATGCTTACATATTACTATATTTTTGTATCACTGAAAATACATGTGGTGTATGTGGTTTTTTGTGGCAAAAATGTAAATGCAAACTGCTGCAAAGTACTTTGAGATAAATGTCCTCAACTATTTAACTTGTTTCTTACTGCAATGCTAATGCATGGGATACTGTGTGAACTAAGTAAGCTGCTTGTTTCACTCTTTAAATGAAGACGTGTTTGCACAAGTAGTGCATTGAATTTCTCTGTAGTTCACTGTATTAACAGTGGAGAAAAACTTTTATTGTTTTAGATAAAAGTTATTTTCTTTCCTACCAGATTGACTTATATTTACAGAAATTAATTCTTGCATTTTTTCATGTATAGACCTACAGTCTTTTAGTAGGTAACCAATTGTTGCTGTGCATTTGAGTTGACAGCTTATGAGGCTGTAGCTTCACATTGATTTTAATAAAAATATGTATGTTGTATTTCCCAAAATATTACACACAAATATTCTAAATAATCATTCATCAAAGTATTGGTAGAAAACCTCTCTAGTGTATCCACACTATAAATGAGATATTTCTATAATCAGTTCTAGAGTTCTGCAAGTTATTTCAAAAGACTATATGTTAAATTCTCAATATCTACAAATCCATACACTGAACACAAATAATATTTATTTCTGTTCAATTATACAACACAGATGAAATTGTTCCTGTGCAGGAAACTAGATAAAGACTGATCAATCTTTTGACATCCTCAGAACATGAGCAGCCTTAGGCTGTGTGTAGGACATGCACTGAATGTCTGCAAAGGATGAATGTCACCCATTTAGTGTTGTAACCCATGAGCCTGAATATTAATTCCCTATTCAGAGAGATCTCTCTGGTGCAATAAGGAGAAGTTTTGCCAATATAGGAGCTTGAGTAGAAAATTCATCCCTGTTCTGTGGGAAACAAATGATACTCTGGAATTCTCTCCACTTCCTATACCATATCTGTTTCTAAAAGTAGATTTAATGTAAACACTCTGCATGCACCATATGAAAAAGAAAACTGCCAGTGATGCATAATCTAATTTGAGGTGGAAAGCCTAACCCCTTACCTAGCACTGGAATGCTTTGTAACACGGTCCTCTATCTCCCCTCACTCCTAGTAAGCTTTGTAGTAATAAACAGAAGCTCTTCAGGATGTACACGCCTCGGAAACATAGGTATTCAGCATCCTGCCTATTCATATGATGTTTGAGAATGCCAACTAACATCAGGTGCATGATTCATTTATTTCCCCTCCTTAGCATTTTAAATTCCTTACTTCTCCAAACAATGTTTCTTAATTTATTTATTTTTAAGTGCTTGTAAATCCCTTGTTGCTTGTTGCCTGCAATGCCATTAACATAATGGCAATGATACGAGTTCTTTGAAACTCATCCAGTGGGACAATTGCAGTGCACAGCACGCCGTGGTTTGACTAATCCCTGTTCCTCTTCTCTGCCTGAGACTTCAACTTCTGGAATGCATTACGCTGCAGAGATCTAAAAGTGGGGTTGAATATTTGGATAAAGACATTTCCCCAAGTCCAAGATGATTTTTATAACCATGGCAGTTGAGTTCTCCATCAAATAATTAGTGGGGAATATTAAGCTATAACATACTAGGCAATTATAAGAGTCAAAATGTGGAATTGTTGTTGAGAAGAATCCCCTTGGACACAGCCTGTGGAAGTTGTGCCTGCATCCTGTTCTAGAAGGTAAAAGAATGCACGTGAAATCAAACATTTGCTTCAGCTGAATTCTGTGGCAATTGTGTCTCTTACCAAAAATGGTAATTGCTACATGAATGGATCTTATGGGAAGAAACCCATGATTTATATCTCAAGCTGACTGCATTTTTTTCTTATTTTTTAAACATAATGTAAAAGACGAGAAGTAGAAACAGATTATAAAAAATGAAGATAAAAAAATAATTTCTCTTCTTCCAGAAACTGTTCTGAAAAAGGAAAAAATGCATAAAACTCCATAACATTTATTTTTTTTCTGTTTGACAATTAAACTATAAGATATTATGACCCAAAATTCTTGTTATTACTCATTGAAAATATGAGATATAACATTACATTTCTTGAGTTCATGGTCCTAGCATGAGACTGGTGGTGAAGTCTTGAACATTTGAACTTCAGGTCTCACTGTACTATCTGTTGCATTTGCATTTGTTCAGCTTAGCCTAATTTCAGTAAAGTTTGGTAAGAATCAACACCTGTATTTATTGGATGCTGAAAATTTTCCTGTACATCTGCTTGCTGTTATTTTACATAGGTGATAACTTCTGGCAGTTTTAGCTTCTGTCTCAAGACCCAAGGCATCATTCTCCCTCACCCTCAGGCTCTCCATTCATTTCAATTT